ATTTCGTACTTTTGAGAAATGCCCATTTTAAATTTAGTTATTTATTTTCAACCTTATTAGAAGTCCTGAATTTTTCCAATTTCTACATCTTTATTAAAACATTGCTGGTGTAAAACACTAGGATGGCTAAAAATTTAATTAGATTGATGAAAAAACAATATAGTGTTGAAAGTGCTTCATAAAGAGACAAAAGAATTATTAGTATTCTACATCGCTTTATAATGTAGCTGTTTTTTCCACTACTTTTCCTTTAATTATCCTTTTTAATTACCATTTTATTTTCACTGGTTAAAAAAAATTAATTTGTACGCATCCTTTAATATTGTCTATTGTTGTCATCACTCTGTTAAAATCAGATCTCTCTTGTAAATGATTCCTGGAGGCTCAATGGGATTAACCTGTCTAAATAAAGGTTGAATGAACAGGATAATTTTTGGCATACATGTTCTCCTCCACACACGCACAAACTTTTTTTTTCTTTCCCGTTTTCATTACTTTTGTTTTCTCCAACTATTTTAGTGATTCCTATCTGTGCCCCATATTTGAGGAATTAAATAGACAAACTGTTCAGGTTGTTATGGTTTTGAATTATTTTGCCATCAGTTTAACAAACTTCCGCCAATACATTTCAAAATAAAACTAGTTTTTTTTAATCGAGGACAGCTGTTGTTTTTAATCTCCCTTTTACTAGATTTTGAGGAATAGGTAAGTGAGATTTATAGTAAAAATGTTATAAAATGTTTTGGACATTAGCTTAATCTCTTAAGTACAGTACAAATTCCGAAAGTTTTTTTTTTTAAAGCGATGTCATCTCTGATCAAGGTATGGGGCTTTTATTCTGAAGGCCATATGAAACTGTTTCCGGCTCTCTGGAATTCAGCTAGCTTTAGCAGACTCGCCGCAGCTGTCGGGCCAGAAGGTAATGGCCTGAGATTTCCAGTCAGCTGTTGCTCCGTTAAAAATAAAAAACACACACACTTAAATCCCACGCTAGCTGGAGTTAAACAACAACAACTGCTCGGGCTACAGAAGCTAATGTCACCGGCCGGATACAATATTCGTGCATTACGAACGTCTCATCCATAACTCACATCTACGCGTGCGCAGCTCGTGCAAAGTTTATTTTCCACTTCCGATCAAAAAGGTCCCCTTTTGGTCTGTTTATTTGATAATCCCGTTATGAATGTAGGTTCTTCTGGGTGTTAAACTCACGCAGATTGTTATTTTTGTCTGCTTGTGAATGTGGTACTCTCAAGCAGAGGCCCCCCTCTGAAAGAATAAAGGAAAGAAAGGCGGAAAACGCACATTAATTCCAATTTAACACATGGCTGCAATAACAAAACGCGTACAAATCAAAGGCTTCTTCAACGAGCGTCCCTTTTGCAACAACAGCCATGTAGATGTGTGTGTTTTGGCGTGCGCCGTGGCCTCGCACTCTTTGTTTTGACGGCGCAGGGGAAAACGGCAAACGGGTTTTATTTTAGCACGAATTAGGCAAAACAAGAAACCCGCATTTCGCTTTCACCCGAGCCAGCGCGGAACGTTGCACGGAACGGAACGACGCGTGTCCTCGGCGGCACGACCTGCCAGGCCTCGGCTGCGTGTTGTCCGAACAAAAACAACCGAGTTTTCAGACCTAATCCTCGACACCGACTGCGGAAGCTTTAGCCGCACACACGCATGCTAACGTTTCAACGACTGTCAGGTAATCACAAACAACACGGTTAGCTCACCTCAAACCGGCTCCGGGACACACCGTTTACCTCCTTCCCCATGTCGGACTCCGGTTCTACCGACTCAGTGGATTCGGTGTAGGCGCAGCGAAAAGCAAACACGGACCCGTCTCACGATGATCATGTCCCCTCGGTCTCTTCTGGCGGCGGCGTCGACGTTTCACGAGCCTACCGTGAACAAAACGAGCCCTCGTCCGTGGAAAAATGTGGGTTTAGTGGCAGCAGCCCGGCCAATAAGCCAGTTCTTATCTGCTCGGCTCGTCCTCTCCTCCTCCCCCTTCATCCATCCACACAATAGCCCCGACAGGAGTGGGAGCTACGCCGTCACCACTTCAAAACACTAAATATAATGTCGATGATCGTCCATGGCGAACAGCTTCTTCCTTCTTATTCGCCGGAGTTTGAGCTCGAAGTGAGCTGTGTGAGGTGTCAACCTTTTAATGCGCGCACGTAGCTCAAATACCTGGCCCAGCTGGCTTCAGGGGCACATGGACACGCATTATATGTTAAAGGAGTTTAATGTCCCTCACGAGAACAGACAATTTAAACTAATATTTACACTTTTTCCCCTCAAAATAATAAAGCCAGGTTTGTTTTTATTTAGTTAGATTTTTTTTTTTTGTCAAAGTGACAGCAACACTGTCAACCCACAGAATCGGCATTTGCCTGATGTGACACACAAAAACCATTAAAATGCATCATTTTGCAATGTTTGCATACATTTAAACTTTGTTATTGCAGTACGAAACACCACTTCCGCGTTTGTCGTTTTGGACACGCCCCTTAGGCAATCGGATCCAATCAGCGTTCAGAACGGCAGTTCGTCACATTCATGCTGGGGAACACATGTTTGACAACAGTTTTACATGCATGCAGGGACACATTTAGATGTGGGACATGATTTTACATGTGACAGAATAAAGCTAAATTCATTATGTCAGTTGATTTTATTTTTCTTGTTAACGAGATCACCCACCTCTTATTGTAGAATAAACTATTTGAAGTTAAACAATAAATGTTAATGATTAAAGACAAGCTCAATCTTTAGCAAAATGCTAGCAATGTGAGTTTGTTTATATATTCTATGTTGTTTAGGTTTGATTAATTTTACTTCATTGTATTAAATAAATGTTAACACTCATTCTTTAGTATTTAATTTAATATAAACCACCATGCAATTTTCTATGAAAGTATTTTGTTATTGGGTTTTTTTTTTTTGTTAAAAAGAAAAAAGGTTAGATAAATAAGACTATTTTATTTAACATTATATAACATGCTTTAATAGAAAATTGATGAAAATACTGACCATGAAAATTTAAAGAAAATCTAAAATCTATAATTTACCCTTATATGGTAGACTAAATTTAATGTGCATTTGGTCAAATAAATATAGTGATATTTAATTGACTGCAGTATTCCTAAACCTAAACTGTATTTTTGCCAAAAGACTGCACTTTCTCTAATCTTAAACTCAAGTTTATTATTAACCTTAAAACAACTAATTTTATGGGGTGGTTATTTAAGTGAAATGTCTCAGTTTTTGCTTTATTTATTATACTATTTGAAACTATTAAAATATTTATATGTTTAATATTCAGACTTTTTCTATGTTATGATTTAGAAACCAAATATCAATGTTTTTGTGTTGCCAGATGTTTTTGTTGAAGCATTTTTTCATGTCTGGCAGGATGTTTTATATTGCTGAAAGAGGCAACTCCCAAAAGAAATACAGTTTTCATAAGAGGATTTCTTTACATGGGCGTTATGAGACAAAAAAAAAAAAATCTATAAATGGCAGGAGCCAGTGTGTCCAAATAGAGATTTGCTCGAAAGACCACACTGCCCCCACTGGCTGCGTGTGTTCCCTGGTTAGCCTTACACACAAAGCCATTTGTAGTATGTAAAACAATGATTAACCCACCCTCCTCCACTGGTCAGAGGTTCAGTTCTGATTATGGATTATTTCAGGGGTAAACACAAGTATGGTAACCCATGTGTGTATTTATTTAATATATTTGATATCAAGTGTCATTTTTACCCTGTTGTTGTAGGTTTGGTCGCACTAGTTCAACAACTTACGCTCTTACTTATTATTTTTTATTATTATTATTATTAGACATACTCACCGAAACATAGGCATTATTTTTTGCCATCTAGTTGTGCTTCTTCCCAACTATTTGGAAAAAAGTCACACAAGTCAGCCATATACACCAGTAGCCCAAAAGTCCTAACAAGAGAATGTTTGAACACATTAGTGAATCACTGGACTAAACCATGTTGTACAAGAATTAAAAAATTCTTACATGTTAACTAGTCAACATAAATTATGTCTTCTAGTCGACTAGTGACAAATGTGCACACTAGACGAATAGTGCAACCTAAAAATAACTATAGTCAACTAGTAACTCTAAAATGCTCACTGGGTGAAGTGGTGAAAAATGTCAACTAGTGAGCCTAAATCCTTAAGTTGATTAGTGTCACTAAATTTAACTTTACCAACTCCCTATTAATGTTCAAAATGCCCATTAATTGAGACTTTTGGGCTATCAGTGCAGCAAAATGGCTGATTATAACGTCTATTCCGAATATGGGGCGCCCTAGATAGCAGCTCTCTGCTCCACACAGAGGGCTGTGGTAGCTTGGTGGTCTGTGGTTGTGTCAGGAAGGGTATCCAACGTAAAAATAATTGCCAAGTCTTTGTGCGACTTATTTTGCTGTGGCGATCCTTGAAGAAGAGAGCAGCCGAAAGAAGAAGAAAAATAAATAAATTAAAACTAACTTGGAACAATAGTTCATAACCCCTTTATAAAACACAGACAGGAAAATATGTTTTCAGGTAGTTTTTCCACAAGAAAAAAACATAAATGTTTTGGATTATACAGTTGAAATAAACATAAAAAATGGTTAGGGTATTCTTTTGCTTGTAAAACGAAAAAAATATATTTTCCAGTATTTTCTTCCTTTGCTAAAAAATACAGGAAAATATATTTTTCCGGCATGTATTTCTTCAGAAAAACAATTGGAAATTTAATTTTTATCGTATTTTTAGCAGAGGAAGAAAATACCGAAAAATATATTTTACCTGTAGTTTTTCCACAAGAAAATGTTATTTTCATGGACTATACAGCAGAAATAAACACCAAAAGTGGTTAGGTTATTCAGGTGGAAATACTTGTGCAAACTGAAATGAGTACATTTAAAAGCTATTTACGCATTTGCAAATAGTACGCAGTAGTGCACATTTGTAAAACTTGTACACATACAGTCATGTGTGACTGCTTTGAGCCTGATTTATCTTCATATATAATAGCATAAATTAAATCAGTATTTTTCACTTTACCTGTTGGTGGTCATAATAATATGGCTGAAAAGTATGTTTGTGCACATTGTTGAATTAAATATACCACATAATAAACTATAACAATATAATAGATTATAATGTCTGTGCTTTATTTTTTATTATTTTTCAAAACGTGACAATTTAATGACATTTATCTTTGAGGATAGAACAAATATTGAGCAACTTGGCAAACCTCGTCGTTTTTTGCGTCTCGGTCACGGCCATCGCGAGAACAGTGGGTGGGCCCTTTCACGTGATTGGACGTTGCTAGGTTACGTCCAAGATCGACAGCGCTCCCTTTTCCGGGCTGAACTCAGAAGTTGCCAGTCACAGGAGCCACAATGGCGATTGTAGTCTCTTTAAGATAGGGCTGTGGATGCAATCAAATCCACTAACATCGCCCTAAATATAGGCTTGGTTGATTTCCAGAGCCATTGATAATAAACTGGAACATCTACTGCACACGAAAATACTATGATTTCTTATTGTTGAGTTTTATAGGGGATACAAACTTACATTAAAAGGAACATGTAAACAGCACCAACCGGGTCAAGTTTTCATTTTGTTGGAGAAACGAGCGTCTTTTACTGAAGACGTCTGCTTGTTTCTGAGTGCTAAGCTCGTTCCTCTGAGGAACACAGCACCTTTACTTAACTTGGCACCGGACAAGGACAGCTTTCACAAGGGGACTTTTTTCATTTTTCATCAGGCTGCTCGCTAGCTGCCGAGCATTAGCTAGCGGTGCTAGCTAGCTACGTTGAGACGGTGGCGACGCTTCAAAACTCCCAACGTTCGGTTCGGACCTTCTTCATTCACTGACTAACTCCAAGATCAACCTTTACGGCACGGGAAGGCAACTTTTTATTTTTCTGTTTTGAGAAAACTCCGCCGACGATCCAATGGAGTGAATTGGCGCTAAAGGAGGACTCGATATGTGAGCGGCCTTCACTGTGTTTGTGTTTATTCTTGTCCTGATTCTGCTTAGTAACATTTTGTTTTAACATTTGGGGGTAGCGGCCTGGTTTCCCGTTAATGAACTGCCCGGATCACGGTAGAGGAGGCACCGCCGGCGTAAGGTATGCCTGGGTCGGACCGAAACCATGGGATCAAGAGGAAGACGGACGCTAGCAGCGGTGCGTCGCTCCAGACCCAAGGCCCGGCTCGTACTTTTGAGGGAGACCTGAGCAAAGATGGTAAAGTGCAGTTAAAACCTCTGATGTCCTCCTCATCGAAACGCAAGCGGCATAAATTGAGCAAATATAACTTTTTATTCGGTGATACGGTGCCTCCTGGCGTCAACACGGTGAAGCCTCTAGTGGAGTACGACGACATCAGCTCGGACTCGGACACCTTCTCGGACCCCCCGTCCTCCAGGCCGTCTGAGAGGGGGGCTGCGGACAGGCTGGACCCCTCACCGGACTACGACAGGGAGGACATTAGCAGAGAAGGTGACGGAGCCGGGAACCGGGTGCACAGACAGCCCCGGAAGAAGCCCAAGGACCCCAGCAAAGTTAGAGACTCTGGGAACGGCGAGCAGGGACTCAAGAAAAAGAGCAGCAAAGACCGCGAGAAGGGCAGATCCGTGAAGAGCAAAGAGAAGTCCGCTCCTGTGGGCTCCTCATCCAAGCACCCAGGTGAAGCCAAACGTGGGGAGCTGATGCTCTCCAACGCACAGAGCGTCGGCAGCACCACTTCCTCCGCGTCTTCGTGCCGCAGCAAGGAGAGCAGCCGCTCAGGGAAGTCCCACAAAGACCGGCAGCAGAGGAGAGAAGGCCGAGGGGAGGTGAGCCGCACCTCCTCCCATAGGAGCCGGGCAGACAGGACTCACCGCAAGTCCTCCAAGAGCCACAAGTCGAGCCCCAGGGGCAAGTCGTCAAACAGGGGGAGTCCCCGCAGAAAGGGCTCTGCTTTGTCACCCAGCCCCAGGAGGAAGGCTGGCAGCGAAAGTCCACTGGGCTATGGACAGCAGGGCGATGACGGCTACAACAGGCGGAGGGTGACCCAGCAGAGCTCAAGTCCTTATGGGGACATGTCTCGCCGCAGCAGACATAGGTCCTCCAGCTTCGAGAGGGACAGCAGCCCTTATTCGAGGAGGCGATCCATCAGCCCGTATGCCACCCGCAGGTCCTCCAGCACCAGCCCAGTGTCTCGGTGAGTATGTACCCTTAAAGTCCTGGGGACTTTGTAGAGCTAGCTGCTGAGATTTTTAATGACTTGCACTTAGATAAGCGCTGTTGATGGGTAGAATGGTATCTTTTTGGAGGTGGCCACCCCTCATCATCATGAGCTTTTTCTTATCGGGAACATTTTTTTTAATTTCTCCTAGCTCAAGGGTCTGCAACCTTTTTGATTTAAAGAGCCATTTTTAAACCTTCATTCACTAAATTAAATGTACAGAGCTGTGATTATCAAGTGATGGCCCATGGGCCACTTTAGGTTTGGTGGAGGAGACTTTTGTGGCCAGTAGGGGGTGACATTATAAAGCTAAAATATATATTTAATGATTTATAACATTTATTGAAATTCTTACAATTTAAGACAAATGAAAAGACCAGATTCTTGTAAACGGGGGTGGGGAGGAAAGCATGTTAAAGCACCTGGTATATGCTCAATCATCCAGGTAAACAAATCCAGATAAGTTGAGTCCTCTGGACGGATTCTTCTTGGTTGAAACCTTTCATCCAAAAGACTTCTTCAGTCTGAGGCCATGCCACAATCTCAGTCCTATAAATAGCACCTTCTCAAAATGAATCAACCAGTTAGCTGGAGACATCCAGAACTAGCTGACTATCTTACCATACTTGAGCTATTCTCCCCGCATAAAGAAAACAGATGGAAGTTGGACAGAAAAATATATCTGGATACAAAAAAACAATGTTGTCATTATACAGGGTCTCTACACGTTTTATAGTTTATGCTAAAAGAACGAGTTTTGCTGAGTTAAGTAGTCCTCCTCAAATTCAGCTGTAAAAAAAATCCAAGAAGCAAAGTTGAGTTTATCAAAAGGTGATTCTTTAACTCTTGTAATGCAGTATTTTTCACATAGTCAACATATGATATAATTAATAAAAAATGTTAGTTTACATTATAGCCAAGATTATTCAAGGATTCAATGATTTTTATTTGTCATACCAGCTCACATTTGCATGTTTTACAGTGCGAAATTCAGACTTGGGTCCCAGATAAAGAAGCCTAACAATTAACAAATAAATAAATACAAAATATTATAAATAAATATTTGTATGATAAAGTAAAAAAAAAAAGAAAAAGTAAGGTGAAGCTGAATTATGTGCAGCTCGAGTTCAGCTGCAGGGAAGAAACTGTTTCTGAGCCTGGTGGTCTTGCTCTGAATGCTCCTCAGTCACCTGCTTGAGGGGAGGGGCTGGAACAGACTGTGTGCAGGATGAGTGGAGTCCTTCACGATGCAGAGCGCCCTCCCCCTGCATCGTGAAGTGTAGTGGTCTGAGGTGGTGAAGGCTGCTCCCCACAGTCTTCTGTGCAGCCTTCACCACCCTCTGCAGAGCCGTCCTCTCAGCAGCAGTGCAGCTGCTGTGCCACACGGTGATGCAGGTGCAGAGAACGTTCTACACGGTGATGCAGGTGCAGAGAACGTTCTCCAACACACAGCGATAGAAGCTCCTCAGGACAGAGCTTCAAAGTCCAGCTCTCCACAGCTTCCTGATGAAGTAGAGACGCTGGTAGGCCTTCTTGACCAGACAGGAAGTGTTGGCTCTTTAACTATCTGCTGCCCCTTTCTGTCCACAGTCTCCTTGAACAACTTTTTGTTGGCACTCCTGCCTATTTGCACTTTAAACCAGTCAAACTACCTTTTGATAATCATATTTAATGATTTGAGCTTAACCTGGATAGTAGGTTTTGAAGTTTTGCCAACTTGGTAAACTTTTCTTTTCAGGATAGAGGGTTAGCTTGTTCCATGTTGAGTTTAGTTAACTTTACAGGCAAAAGCTTTAGGGTAAAGATAAACAAAACAATTAGAAGTCGACCTGCTTCTGATTGCAATACCAACAAATGGAAGTTTACTGTCCTCACCTTTTACATAATTTAGTTTTTTCAGTTTTTAACACTGTGATCTAACAATAAACAATCTCTGAGTCACGGCATGCACTGCAGCAACTGTTTTGGAGAAAGCAAATGTTATACACTTGACATTTATCATCACTTTTGGTTAAAGTCCATTTTTTGAGGACAGCTGCACCCTGCAAAAAAAAAAAAGTTTTGAAATTCATGTTCGTTATGACCAAACAGTGTTTTTATTTATTTTAAATGGAAAAGGCTGTTTCTGTGACCATGATTACGCTTGTTTTGCTCATTCTGTTTATCTCACCAGGCGCTCGGATCGATCCAGAAGTCGTTCTCCTCTGCACTACTCTTCTCGCCGCTCCTCCTCCCGTTCCCGAACCAAGAGACATACCTCCTCTGGAGCAGGGGGCAACTCCCACAGCAGTCGGGCAGCAAGCCGCTCCCCTCCCTCCTCCCGTCTGCCCCTCAACTCCAGTTTGGGCGCGGAGCTTACCCGCAAAAAAAAGGAGCGCATGGCTGCCGAGGCGGCTGCTCGTGCCAGTGCTGGCGGCGCGGCATCTCCTCTTACGTCGACAAACAAAGCTTCGAGCTCTGCGTCGTCACGGCCTGCTAAAGCCGAGCCCCCGCCGCTAGAAAAAGACTCGTTAGCAAAAGTAGAAACTCACCCTCCGCCTGCTGCACAGTTACCCCCCGATGGTCCTAGTGCTGAAGATCAAGTTGCAGCATCTTCATCTTCTTCACCTGCACTACCTCCTCCTGAGCCCTCCCCTCCTGTGCCACCCAGCCAAGCCATCCAGGTTCCCCCACCACCACCTCAGGCAGAAACGACTATTCAGCTTCCTGCAAATCCCCCCTCCCTGGCAAAATCGCCAGTTTCACTTCCTTCACGCAGCCCCGTTCGCCAGACACCACTCCACAAGACGTCCACTCTGCCCCCCCTGCCTTTACCGCCTGCACTGCTGGGCGCCACTCAGAACAGGTGAGGCGCCTCAGTCACACTAGCTGCATTTATATCACATTTCAAGACATGTTTTTTAAGTTCATTTTTATTTAAATGTTTTTATATTTGCTTCCATCTGTATACATATGACACGTTTGCTTTTTGAAGTTAAAACCTCAGAAAAAAAGCTAGTTACAGTAACAGTTCTATATAAATTGACACTTTTAAACTTTGCCCCTTCATGAATTGTTGGTGGGTTTGTGCACAGATGTGAAAAATAATAATTACCTGAGGAGCATCTGATAACTTTAAAACACTTTGTTTAGGGTTTATTGATGACTACCTGTGGTAAAGTCTTGTTAATTTGATCTTCTATACATTGCTATGAGTGCATTTTTATAAAAAGATGTTTACTTTTTTTTAGGCAGTAACATTTTTTTTTTATTGTTTTGCTCTGTCAGTCCAAAGAAGTCCACCCCTCCCCAGAGGACATCGAGAAAGGAGAAAGAAGTTCGCATCCGGACTTCCATTATCGACCTTCCTCTACCACCAACTCTGCTCGGCATTGACTCCTCACCTCCGCAGTCCCCCATCCGGCAGCCTCCCACTGTACCACAAACAGCCCTTAAGAAGAGACCAAAGTCCGTTTGTTTTAAATAACTCACCTTTTGAATTTTGTCCTTTCATTAATGTTGTATCAAGTGTTACTTTTATGGTTTCCAGGATTTGTTGCCCACGATACGGTGAGCGCAGACATAACCTGAGTGACTGGGGCAAACGCTGTGTAGACAAATTTGATATTATTGGCATCATAGGAGAAGGCACTTATGGCCAAGTGTACAAAGCAAAGGACAAAGACACTGGTAAGCATATATTTACTAGACATCAACTACAGTGCCACTAATTTAATTTTTATATAAAAAATTTCACTGAGGTAAATTTCCATCTAAACATGTTTGTGTCCTCTGTTTTTATTTTAGGTGAACTTGTTGCTTTGAAGAAAGTGCGTCTGGACAATGAAAAGGAGGGTTTCCCCATCACGGCCATCAGGGAGATCAAGATCCTGCGGCAGCTCAAACACCGCAGCGTTGTCAACATGAAGGAAATCGTCACTGACAAACAGGATGCACTGGATTTCAAGAAGGATAAAGGTAAACTAGTCGATGACGAAGGACAAAATATACAGTTTTTAGTCATATGTCATTATCGAGGAAGCTGTTTAATCCGTGTTTGTCAAAGTCAAAACATCAGCATGACTGAGAGCAGGGACGCCATAGTGTCAGTTTAATTTCCTCTTTGCTCTTGTGTAAATAACTTTGGGCTGAAGAGTACGTGCTTTTTAACAATCATTGTTCATTTAATGATAACCAAACATCATTATTCTTAGGGATGTACGATATTGGATTTTTGGCTGATATTTTATATATTCTTTCCTTTGTCAGAACATATCCGTCTTATTTAGGCTTATTTGCTACAAAAATTGTGCAACAGCTGTAAGAGCTGGTGACATATATTCAGTAACAGCCGTATGATATGCAGAGCACTTTAACTTATATTAAATAAAAAGTGTTAAATGTTATTTATTAGCATTAGTCACCTGCGATGCTGTCTCACTTGTGGAGGTTTGTTCCAGGTTCCTATAGCTGCAGTGTGGGATCCTCTGCACTCCTGTGCATGAAGGACAGACTTTTTAAGTTCAAAGTTTTTATCTATCCATTGTTCCGTAAGACTAATCATGCTAACGAGGCTAACACGACGTCCAAATGTCTGTGGTAAAACTCACCCAAGTGCTATCGGCTGTTAGCTTCTCAGTGACGTCAGAAATGACGGCTTGTAACTCGGGTAAGGCTACGTCAGAAAAATATCTGACTGGGGACGATGTAGCGAGGCTCAACGTTGTCCAGAAATCTTCAGAATCCGACATCCTCAACAAAAAAACTTGCACACCGCCGACATTTTGACTTCTTCCTCTCCTTCGTGGTCAGAGCCGGTAGGCGCACATGACGTCATCACGTTGGCGTTGCAGACATCCTTGTCACTGGGTTGTCACACAAAAACAGCGTTTTTTAATATCGGTGTGTTATTTTGATGGAATGACCCATGTCCGATATTTAACTTTTAACGCCAATATCAGCTGGTACTGATGCCATGCCGATAATATCGTGCATCCCTAATTATTCTTGTGTTTTGACTTGGGTCTTTATTAGAGAGATCCTGCCAGCTTAAAAGCTTAATTTGTCTTTTAGAAGACGACATTTACAACAATAAAAACAAGCTCATGGCTGCTTAACAAAACATTAATATGCTATCTATGGCTGCTTTTAATCACCATATTTACACAGTGTACTCACAAACTGACTGGACAGACACTAAGTTAAACTGGTTTTCACTACCAGTACTGGATTAGAGTTGCATTTTGTCGTAAAAAAAATCAGACCCAGCCCGGAGCCATTTTTTCCGAGCCCGAACCGGCCCAACCAATTTGCCTGTAATTACAGGCCCGAACCTGAAAAAAAACATAATTTTTATTAAGCTTTTACTGCTTTTGTAAGCAAACCAGTTTGACATTCTAGTTTTAAAAACGTATTTCAAAGAAAGGAAGATATACGATTTCTTGTTTATTAAAAGTCACCAAATGGATATTAACAAAACGAATAGCTTTAAAAAATCAACTCTAAAGACACGCTATCACACAGATGAACCAAAATATTTTGAAAATATAGAATAAGGCTATTTTAATTGAACACGCAGCTCGGTTCGGCTTGATGCTGCAACTTCCTTCACCGCAGATGACGGGGTGCGGAGCTGGACGCGCGCAGCCGGTGATCCATCTGGCCGGTCAGTGGACGTGCGCGGCCGATGATCCGGTGTTCCATCTGAAGCTTAACGTGACTTTTTACATTTTTTTAAATTTGACCTCTTTCAACCGGCCAGTCGGACCTGAGCGTGCACCTGACCTGACACACGTCAGCAGGTTTCACTGTGCTGGCTTTGTAGAGTGAGTTCTCCCGTTTTAAAACTGCATCAAAAGTCCGAGACCGACCCAACCTGCCCATCAAGCACATAATTTTGGGTCGGGCCGGGCTCGGGTTAGTTATCGCAGCTCTTTACCGGATTACAAACGTAGTGTCCCTGCAAAACCAAACAATGCCTCAGTTTCTCTGCCATGTTGACGTACAGAGCCGGTCTTCTGCACTTTGCTAATTCCTCTTTATTATTTATCCACCAGCAGGTTGTCGCACACAAAGAAGAGCATAGATCCATGCATTCCTATCCATTTTTACTTTTGCTGTGTCACAGTAGGTGTATTTCTGTTATGTCAGGTTAGTTCATGTTTTGCACACAAAATTCTGCAGTTATTGAGAGCAAGAGCTTGGCAGCATTAATAAATATTTTTAGCCACCTGAAGATTTAAGCAACAGTTCGATGGTTTATTTCTAAGAAAAACATGTAAATCTACTGTGATGTTGCTGCGGTCACAGTGACTATTCACTTTATCAGCTTCAAGTCACAGAGAGCAGAGCAACACGGGTTTTATGACTTGGTAATGATTTACAGCGTCTTAAGTGAAAATGACAAAGTGTCGTAACTTATAGTTTAGTTGTTTCGGTGATGTTTTCTAATGTGAATGCATTTGAAGCAAGGTTAGGTTTTCTGAGCCTTTTTTCTATCACGTGCCCACTTTCTAACATTTAATGGCTGCACTTCATGCATCTTTAAAACTAAACATTTCCTTTGCTTTTAGGTGCGTTTTACTTGGTGTTTGAGTACATGGACCATGACCTGATGGGCCTTCTGGAGTCCGGCCTGGTCCAGTTCTCCCATGAACACATCCGCAGCTTCATGCGGCAGCTGTTGGAAGGTCTGGACTACTGCCATAAGAACAACTTCCTGCACAGAGACATCAAATGCTCCAACATACTTCTCAACAACAGGTAAGAAGTGTTCAGTAAAATATTGTTCCCTCTTGTGTTGACGTTTCTCGTGTCTTTTCAGAAACAACTGAACTTTTCCGCTCACCGCCGTTAAACTGTGACAAAAGTTACTTGTGGTTTTCATTGGTGTTATTTATAAAAATACTGTGTATCCTGATTAAAGCTGGGAGGGAAATCATTTCAAACGGACGCTAGTTGAATAAAAGACTTGTCCAAGTTTCTAACCTCAGATGTGTCTGTGCAGAGGTCAGATCAAACTGGCTGACTTTGGATTGGCTCGACTTTACAATTCTGAAGAAAGGTAAGACAACAATGGTTTTGTACAATAAATAAATAAAGCAATAAAAGAGTACTTAATGAACCATAAACCTGATGTGATATAACACGTCACTGAATGATGGTGCAACGATTTCAGTGACTTCCCAGTAGGTGGAGCTCTGTGTCTAAAACTGCTTGTTCTCTCTGAACACGTGGGAGCAAAGATGTTTAAATGTGTCCTGACTGTTTGTTCTTTTTTTTTTTAATCCACTCCTCTCCCTCAGTCGACCGTACACTAATAAAGTAATCACGCTATGGTACCGTCCGCCTGAACTTCTGCTGGGTGAGGAGAGGTATTCTCCAGCCATTGATGTTTGGAGCTGTGGGTGAGTCTGAAACTGTCCCAGCAGCGCGTCTGTCCGTTCATTCACACTTCACGTTTTTCACAAACTTTCGGTCAGATTAGTCCCAACTGCTAAATAAATGGAGAAGCAGCAGCACAGCTTTGACTCGGTGTGTTTTTATTGTTCTGTGTGCCCAAAATCTTTCACCCATTCAAATACTAGTGTTGAGATACTTTTGGGTGTCTTTGTATTATGTTTGCAAAACAATTAGAGGTTTTTGACATTTTTCCTCTTATGTAAACAAACTGGAAAATAAAAAGACTAATTTCTAACCCTGGTTTACTGCAAAGACCAAGAGTCAGACATGGGACTGTTGTTCTCTGCTCTTGTTTCGTTTGTGTGCAGTGTTATCACATTCCAGCAAGGTGACTCTGAAACAGCGGGTTTTATTTTGCTTCTTGAAGACGTTTCTTTTTATGAACCGCTTATTTTGCATCATATATTGTAGTTTATTTCCTTATATTGTTTTTTGTTTGTTTGTTTGTTTGTTTTGCTCAGGTGTATTCTTGGAGAGCTCTTCACTAAGAAACCCATCTTTCAGGCTAATCAGGAACTTCTACAACTGGAGCTCATCAGGTACGCAGACCTTCCCAAACAAATATTCTGAGATGCGCGGATGATAAAGTGTCACAGCGCAGAGCTTTTCTTTAAAAAATAAATCAAAGAGCACGTTTTAATTTTGTCCCTGCAAAAAGTCTTTAAGCCGTTGAAATCAGCTGTACTTTGTTCTCTAAGCAGCTTAGTGTGGGCTGTGATTTGTTTGATATTTTTGTACAGAGGAAACGTTCTGCATGACGTATAGTTCTTCAGAAAGTTTAAATCTTCAGTAATGATGCCTAATGTCTGAAAAGACTGAAGACAAATGTATGGAAATTGAAATAATCTGACTCTTTGGTCACTGATTAGCTGATTAACCATTTAGTGAATTTCTAAATCTCTGTTTCAACCTTCATGGTCACAATAATTGATCTGTTTATTTTGAACTCTTTCAGCCGTCTGTGTGGGAGCCCCTGTCCTGCAGCCTGGCCCGATGTCATCAAACTTCCTCTCTTCAACACCATGAAACCCAAGAAGCAGTACAGACGGCGACTACGAGAAGAGTTTGCCTTGTATGTAGCTCTGCAGCACCTTTTTTAAAATAATTAACAGGTTTCTGTTTTTTTTTTTAACCAAAAATATGTATTTCTTGCACAGTTTGCCTATTTCTGCCCTGGACTTGCTGGACCGAATGTTGACCCTTGACCCTTCACGCCGCTGCACGTCAGAGCAAGCGCTCTTCAGTGACTTCCTGAGTGATGTAGATCCCAACAGGATGCCACCGCCTGAGTCAGTAGTTTGACTTCTGTCGCACAAACTGAAAGATTATGATAAAATGCTTGTAAATCTCATCTGATACAGTAATCCCTCGATTATCTCGGGGGTTACTTCCACACACCACCACGATAGGTGAAAAACCAATAAGTAGGAACGTTATATTTTAGTATTTACCGTATTTTTCAGCCTATAAGTTGCGGGGGTTTTTTCGCATAATTTGCATGCCCTGTGACTTGTAGGCCGAAGCGACGTATTTATGGATCTTTTTCCATATTTATAAACCAATTTTTGGCTGAGATGTGACCGTTTTCATTCATTCTGACTGAAAAAAAAATGGAACAGTACCATTTTTAGCCACTTGATGGCAGCAGAGTAGTAGCAGCCGTAAGGCATCATGTATCATGTAATAGGTAAATGTGGCTATAATGACAAATTCAAAAAAGCTCAAGACAAAAACAACTGGACTTTATTTATATATACCGGAGAGAACAGTGGACCGGGCGGCACTAAGATTCACCGCTGAGTCTGGAGGTCCAGTTCTGGTCCGGTTCCGTGCGACTCTTCATCCGCTGGGCGCCGAAGTCGCTGTATGAATAAGGATCGAACTTTCTCAGATCGGATCAGAACTTGCTCTCCCATTTCAACAGAAGGCAACAGTTGAAAGCACTGTTGTTTCAGGGTGTTGCACTGTTGGCTTCTGGGAAATGTAGTCCTTTTGAGTGGCGATAGTTTAGGCTTGTTGAGAGAAAACTACAAGAAGGTGGCGCCTGTCCAAAGTTTTTTTTTACTTTTTACTTTTTACTGTACAGTATCCTGTACCGTCCCAATCATGTGTGTAATATTAAAGTTGAAATCATGTGTCGTGCACAGTTTTTTTCATATACAATCTTTTGTTGAAAAAGCGCGTCTGCAAAAGTCGAACTGCGAAGTAGCGAAGGACTACTGTAGTTGTATCTTTATTTGTCTGAAGCCATGTTATTTAACGGTTTGTTTTTCCTCTGTCCAGTCTCCCTCACCATCAGGACTGTCACGAGCTGTGGATTAAGAAGAAGAGGCGCTCACGACAGAGCGGGTTGCCAGAGGAAGCGCCCAAAGTGCCCCGTAAAGAGGTGGCTGGGACATCCAGCGGCGAGAACAGTCGAGCCCAGAGCAGCCCGACCGGAGTCCCACCTCCTCCGCCGGAAAAACCCGCCTCCACAGCCAAATTGGAGAGCGAGTTGTCGGGTAACGGATGCCTTCAAGATCTTCACAATCTTACCTTCAAGTTTCCACTGCACGACGTTTCTGATCCAACGATTTGTTTTTGTTGAATGTTCAGGTCTGGGAGTGGCTGCGGAGCAACTGAACCAAACCGAACTGGCGGTGCTGCTAAACCTCCTCCAGGGACAGACTGAGCTCAGCCTGGCCCAGGTGGCCCAGCTCCTTAACCCCTCCAATCCAGAGACTCTCGGCCCTTTGCTGTCTGCCCTTAACGAGTCCTCTGACCACCAGGGGGAGCCAGAGAACAAGGTCCAGCCTGCAGCTGTGCCTCAGCCCCCAGAGCCGCCTCCTGAGCCCAGGGAGCCCTCTCCCACACCTGGAGACCCCCCTCTCAGCCAGGAAGACCAGACTAACCTGCTGGCTCTCATTCTGGGCCAAATGATAAAACCACAAACCGAGGCGCAAACTGACGAGAGCAATGGCGTTCAGTCAGAGGAGGCGCTCGCACGCGGTTCGTCCGCTTCTACTACTGATTCCAAGGGCAAGTCTGGGTTTAGTTTTTAGGAGGTGAACAAGGAGGAGGCCAGGGTGAACTGGGGATTATTAAAAAAATGGAGAGAAAAGCTGATTCTTAAATATCTTTTCAACTTTAGTTTCAGGACTTCCTGATGAAACCTTCAGATGACTAAAAATTCAAATGAATTGTTAGAGCAGCCGAACATCGGCCAGGCTTCGATCTGACAAATACTTGTCGTCTTTTCCTTTTCACACCTGTTGTATTAAATAAATACCTATGAAAGCGTCTCATGGACATCGGCTGTCACGTGACTCCGGTTAACGGGGAAAAGTCTGGCCGTCGCTGGTGCACTCGATAAACCAGAAGACGAGCGACAGGAAAGGTTCACCCATTACTCTCTCGTTTTATTGTCATTTCATTTTCACAGTTTTTCATTTTCATCTTAAAGGAGGCGCCGTGGATTCTTCACACGAGGAGACTTTGCTTTAAACACTCTGTAATGTCGGCCTTTTTCATGAAGAAAAGTCAAATAAATTATCAAGTGATAATAAATTTGGAATCTAGCCCTCACCTGCATGTGTTCATTCTCACTTTGGTTTGTCACCTTATTTATTTTTTTTACTGTTCGCTCATCGTAACGAGGCGAAGTCGCTTTGCTCCACCCTGCCAGCTCCGCCTCGTGCTGCACTTCTGCAGGAGATGAGTGACGTGGTTGAAGATGCACGAGTCTCTTGTTGACTCGCATTTAAACGCTCGTTTGTAGCTAGTTGACGAATGAGAACGGGCGTTGTGTTGAACGATTCTAGATTCCAAATGATCAGACGTGATTTCGTCATTACGTGCAGAACAGTTGTTTTGTTTGTGAGAATAATTTTCCATGTGTAGCCGCCCAACATGTTGAGTTAAATCTTGACGCTGAAGAAGCCGTTGGTTCTGCGTCCATCTTGTGAACTTGTGAGTTTCAGGATTGTGTAACTTTGTCATCTTTAAAAAGTAAACGTTCTCCGAGTCGGCTCCAGACGATGAAACGCAAATGAAAGCGAACGTTGTTGTTTTTTCTGTCCGCACTAATTTCTTTGTCTTTCTTTGGGTCTGGTAGATGGTGTCTCAAAAAGGAAACGAGTTTTGGTCAACGAGGTGGTTGACCAGCGTCCCCCGTCTCCGCCCGGGCCTCCTCCTCCTCCCTCGGCCGCTCCTCCTGGGAGCTCCCAGCAAACGGAGCCCCAGGACATCAGCCCTGCCGTGGCTGCTGCTTTGCTTCAGCTCATTTCTCAGCAGGACTTGGAAGCTGCAGCCTCTAAGAAAAGCCCAGACCCTTCCCCGGCTGAGGACGCTCACCGTGGAGAGCCTCCACCTCCTCCTTGGGTTGCAGACTCCCCTCCTAAACCTCCTCCTGCAGCTGAGGCTCCAGACGGACTGGTGACGACGACTCCTACCATGGCTGCACGGTTCCCACAGGACCAGGACCTCCGTTTTTCCCACGGAGCCGCCCGTTGAACCTCAGCGTGTTGGAGGTGAACCCGGGTGTCATTGGACAGCTCCAGCCCAAGGCCTGAAGGAAGTGGCAGAGGACCCCCCCCCACCCCCCCACCCCTACAGAAAGTGATCAAGAGCAGGTAGTGACAGTCCAATCAAAGCTTTTGAAAGTGAATATTTAAATGAGAGTTGAGGGTTTTTGGTTTCGGGTGACAGAACTTCACCTCAACATGTTGCTGTGGTGTTGGAGACGGTGCAGATGAAGAGTCGGGACTTGAGTTGTGGAATGGAGGGCTATGCAACCGACGCTCAGTTTTAAAAACACCCGTGAGCTCGTTTTTTATTTTGTTTCCTCCTTAAAACAAAGAAATGATTGTCTTGGTCGCAGCAGTGGCCACGTCTGATGAGATTATCAGTGTTTAGTGAGAAGTTTTCAGTTCCCCCCCCCCCCCCCGAATGATCTCAGGCTTGTGTAAAAGTGTCAGAACGTTTAACTTCAAAGCTCCGCGGCTGAACTGACCAATCTGCAGGCAGTCCTGTTCGAGCACGAGTCCTCGTGCTTCAGTCCGAAAAATGGATTCAACCACATTAAACTAAAAACACGTTCTGCTGAAGCGAGAAGCTAAAACAAAGATTGCACACGTAAACTTCTCCAGCTCGTTCTGGTGGGCCTTTAAAGCTTCGTCCGATTTGTCCCTCGTGTCCTCGGCAACAAAACGTTTTCCTCTCTCTTTTTTTTCTACACAAATAAATTGCTGATCTCTTTCTGTTATTTGTTTTGGCTTCAGATAAAGAAAGCAGAGTCAAGTGTCTGTAAAAGAAACAGATTTGTAATGTATGCTTTGGTTCAGTTGATTAAAGGAACTTGTGTGATGAGCTGAACTGGCTTTTTTAATGTTTCTTCCCATTTTTGGATGTTTGTGGCCACTAGATGGTGGACTTACTCAAACTGCTGCTCCTAATCCGTCACAACAAAGAGTTTACGCTTTATGTCAGATTTTCATGGTTTAAGATGAGATCTGTTCGTTTCTGTCATTCAGCAGGTTTGATTTGATATTTAATTATAAAAAACACAATTGGACGTTTCAGTGGTTTGCAGAAACCTTCATCTCTCTCTTGTTGCCTTGCAACCAGAACTTTTCTATGATTAACAGCAGTAATTATATATTAAATGGATTTTAATGAAGCCAACTGGTAAAAATGTCTTGGCAAATTCAAAAACACGGAACAGAAACATGATGCTCGCAGATGTGCTTCAGGCTCATCGTCCTCTCGAGCGTCTCTGCATTTTTCTTTAACTGAGCAGTTCTTCAGCCCTTTCGGATGAAAAACATGATACTGCCACCACCGTGCTTCACTGTAGGGATGATATCCTCAGCATGAGTTAGATTTGCTTCAGTTAGTAATTAAATTAAAAAAAAAAAATTAACTTGTTTATACAGGTTAGTCTCATTGAGTCACGAGGACTCATTTTCAAGAGAGACCTGTTTTAGACGGACAACATGTAGAGTACAGACAACATACAACAATAAAAAGCAATTAACATAAAAATGGTTATGAAATCACTGTTACTGTTACCGGTCTTATTAGCAGCATGGTCCTGGTAGCAGTGTGGTTCTGTTAGTATTGTGGTTCTGTTAGCAGTGTGGTTCTGTTAGTATTGTGGTTCTGTTAACAATGTGGTCTTGCAGCGTAGTCCTATTAGCATTGTGGTGCTGTTAGCAGTGTGGTTCTGTTAGCAGTGTGGTTCTGTTCGCAGTGTGGTTCTGTTAGCAGTGTGGTGCTGTTAGCAGTGTGGTTCTGTTCGCAGTGTGGTTCTGTTAGCAGTGTGGTGCTGTTAGCATTGTGGTTCTGTTTGCAGTGTGGTTCTGTTAGCAGTGTGGTGCTGTTAGCAGTGTGGTTCTGTTAGCAGTGTGGTTCTGTTAGCAGTGTTGTTCTGTTAGCAG